CACAGTGGCCCCACTCTCCTCCCAGGCTTTATACTCATGACCATCATGAGGGGCCAGAGCCCCAGCCTTTCCCCAGCACCTGCTCCCTCTTGTGCCCTCTCGGACACGTGGGGTCTGGTGCCCCCAGTGCAAGCTGGGAGGGTGGATCATTCTAGACCCACGCCACCAGAGCAGCCATCTTCTTTTCATGGCATGAAAAGACAACCGTGAAAAGACGACCTTGACTCTTTTCTTCCATAAATTCTGATAAACACTGAGGAATCTGGAGCCCTTAAATTTATCTTGGGGAAAAACCTCAGAACTGGTTTATTTGGTGCCATGGAAACCCTTTTTTTTTTTTTTTTTTTTTTTTGCCTTCAATACACAATTACTAATCCACTGTTTGGTCTACTCGATTTCAGTTTCTATTTTGACAAACAAACACTGTATTATTAACTATTGGAATGAAAGCTCTTAACTATTCTTTATAAAACAACAACAACAACTTTTAAGGCTATCATAGACAGTGACCGAGGCAAAAAGATCACAAGTCCCAGGCCAGCCTGGGCAACTTAGCAAGACCTTGTCTCAAAATAGAAAAAAGTGAAAAGGGTTGGGATGTAGCCCAGTGATAGAGCACCCCTGGGTCCCATCCCCAGTACCAAAACAATAATGATACATTTTAAACCCCAGAACTTCTTTCAGATAATTCTAGTTTATGTATATATATATTTATGTTTAATCAGATCATCTCTAGCACAAGTGTGTGTGTGTGTGTCTGTGTGTGTGTGTGAGTATGTGGGTATGTGTGTGTACACCAGAGATGATCTGAAGGGGTAAACAGGTAAGAATTTGGGGATATTTTAAATCAGTAATGGTAAAAGGGAGGCCGGTAGAGTAGAGGAAGGGTATAGGGGCGAGCAGAGGGGAGGGAAAGGGGAGGCACTGGGGGAGGGAAAGTGCCTTATGTTCTTGTGCAGACGTCTCAATGAATCCCACTATTCTGTGTGATTATAAGATACCAACACCAAATGTAATTAAAAATAAAATAAAAACCCTGAAAGAAAAATAAAATAAGGAAGAGTGGTGAAGGGTTTCCCTGCCAGATGCTAACCCACTATCAGGCTATAATACAGAAATCAGCTCAGAAATCTAGCAAGAATAGATAAACCTATCATAAAAACAGAATAAATAGCCTAAAAACAGAGCTGCTCTGTCTAATAATTTCATAACCCACAAAAGTCTTCAGAGACAGGTGAAGAAGGAAGCAGAGAGCAGCAGCACCAGCCGCGCGGGTCCATCCAGGGCAGGGAAAGAGGCAAACATTAGGGTTAGGGTTAGGGTTTAAAGAAAGAAAGGGGAAGTGAGATAGCCAGGTGTGGTGGGGCATGCCCCAAATCCTAGAGGCTCAGGAGGCTGAAGCAGGAGGCTGGGCAAGTTCAAGGTCAGCCTCAGCAATTTAGCAAGGCTCTAAGCAACTTAGTGAGACCCTGTTCCCAAACAAAAAATAAATAAAAAGGGCTAGACATGGCTCAATGGTAAAGCACTCCTGGTTCTATTCCCAGTACCCAAAAAAAAAAAGGAAAGAAAGAAAAAATCTCTGGGGCTGATGAGAGGAAGAACTTCTTAAATTTAAAATTAATAGAAGATATCACACAGAAAAAAAAGCCAATAAACACAACTCTATATAAATAGAACACTTGGACACACCACTATAAAAAAAAAAAAAACCTGAAAAAGAAAAGAACTGGAAGGAAAACTTGAATGAATTCCCCCGAAAGTGATGAATATCCTGGCTCTTGACAAATAATGTGTACAAGGAGAAACAGTGACACCCCCATTTGGAAAACGATGAAGAACGAAAAGAGGCAAGTCCCAAAGAGAAAAGTCAGGCGGAGGGTAATATTCACAGGGCTCGTTCTTAACAACCCAACAAACATAGCGTTTTAAGCAATGTCATTGTCACATACCAAATCAGCCAGGTCCTGGGGGGGTCACACTGTTGTTTCAAGATGGAGTCTCCCTGCGTTGCCCACCTGGGCTGAGAGACCCCCTGCCCCCGCCTCCCCCGAACTGCAGGTGTTTGCCAGCCTCGTGGTCCTGGACGGGTCACCCTCCTTCCCCAGCAATTTCGCCCCAGGAGCTGATGAAATCCTCCCAGGCTGCCCCAGCAGCCCTCTCTGAAGCATGTGACCAGGCCACGCTGACGTTTCTGTTCCCCAAACACACCCCGGCCGAGCGCATGTCCCTTGTGCTCCCGAAACCTACCCCGGGAGAGCTGGCCCAGCTCTGGAGCACCTGGTCCTTCCCCTGCCCCAGGTTCCGGCCCAGGTGGGACTCCCTGCCCGCCTGGGTCTCCCCCCACCCGCCCCCGTTCCTGCCATCCAGGGCTGCTTTCTGCTGTCCTCTGGGTGCCTGTTACTTCTTAAAACTATCTTTTTCTTTCTCTTCATTCTGTGGACTGGAGGGTCAAATAGACCCTGTGAGAGTCCCGAGCATTAAGGTTCGCCTCCAACACCACCCGGACCTCCTCCCAGGACTCTCCCGTTGTTCTCTTGCTCTCTGATCGCTTTCCACCGAGGATCCTTCGCATACCATCAAGTTCGCCTTTTTAGAGAGGACAGCTCAGTGTTCTTCATACATTCACAAAACTGGGCAACCACCTACACTCTAGTTTGAAACATTTTTATCACCCCCCCAAAGAAACACCCTACCCCCTGGTAGCCACTTCCCTGGCCCCCTTTCCAGCCCAGCCACCACGGATCTGCTTGCTGTCCCTATGAATCGGCCTATTCCAGACATCTCCTAGGAATGGAGTCAGACCCTCTGACCTTCTGTGTGTGGCTCCTCCCTTCAGGGTCTGGTTCAGGGTCTATCCACTCTGCGGCAGGGGTGGGTTCTTCAGACTGGGTAATGGCTGCGCAATGCCCCGTCATGTGGGTGACCACATTCTACTCAGCCAGTCACCTGTTTGGGTTGGACATCTAGATTTCCACTTTTCAGAGATTATAACTAATATTGTTATGATACTTGTTGTTTTTTTCTTTACAGTGCTGGGGACTGAACCCCAGGCCTTGAGCACACTATACAAACACTACCACCGGGATACCTCCCAGCCCAACATTTATGGACTTGGTTCAACTTTTCACACAAACATGCATCTTCAGCTCTCCTGGGCCGACACCTAGGAGTGGAATTCCCAGGTCATATGATAATTCTGTTTAACACTTTGAGGAACAATTGTTCCTCAAATATCCACTGGATATTCCTATATATCCTTTCCAATTGATTTTAAGAGTCTTAATCATTCAATTCTATGAAAATAGGAAAAGAAAGATGGGAGGGCCATTTGCAGCAATCGTTATACTCTCTTATTGGATAAATCCCCTTATTCAAGTTGGCATGGTAGCGCATGCCTATAATCCCAGAGGCTCAGGAGGCTGAGGCAGGAGGATTGAAAGTTCAAAGCCAGACTCCGAAATTTAGCAAGGCCCTAAGCAACTCAGCAAGAACCTGTCCCTAAATAAAATGCAAAAAAAAAAAAAAAAAAATGGGTAGGGATGTGACTCAATGGTTAAGTGCCCCTGGGTTTAATCCCCAGTACAAAAAAAAAAAAAATTAAATTGCTCATTCAAATAATATTATTGGTCTAATTGGAACCTACTACTATTATAGGCACAAAAAAAAAATCCCTGCTCTCTGGAAGATTTCATTCTATGGAGGGAGGGGGCAGGTGATGCAGAAAAATAATGGAAGGGAATTGCAGTTTTAGAGTCATCAACAAAGGCCCAGGGAGAAGAACGCACAGGGAGGGTGTGGAGGACAGAGCCTGCAGCTGTCTGGGAACATTCTGGGCAGCAGGAACAGAAAGGACAAATCCCTGAGGCAGAAGCATCCCAGCTGGTTCAAAGAACGTCTAAGGGACCACTGTGACCAGAGGGGGTGGAGCCAGGGAGAGGAGAAGACCTGGGAGACACAGGGACCTCTGAGAGCACCCCGCGGCCTCTGGAAATGCCTGGACTCCAAGTCAGACCGGAGGTCACCGGAGGGTGTGGAAAAAGAGACAGATGCTTCCTGCCCCCAGGTTTGGCCCAAGCACCAGAAAACACGGGCTTTCCAAACAAGAAGACAGGGAAGAAGGGGGCAGAGAGGGATGCGGGGGGCATGGGGTCAGGTCACGTTTGAAATTTCCACATCTGGATGGAGATGCTGCAGAGGCAGGAAGCCGTAGGACCTGAGTCCTGAGATGGCCAAAGTGCACAGGCAAGAAAGGTCCCTGTGTTTTAATCACAACTTAGGGATCCCACGACCCTCTGCCTGGCCCAATCCCAGCCCTCCCTTCCTCTCCATCCCACCTCTTGACCCTCAGGCCCTCAGCGACTTCTATTATTTCTTTCTTTCTTTCTTTAGAGAGAAAGAGAGAATTTTAATATTTATTTTCCAGTTTTCGGCGGACACAACATCTTTGTTTGTATGTGGTGCTGAGGATCGAACCCGGGCCGCACGCATGCCAGGCGAGCGCGCTACCGCTTGAGCCACACCCCCAGCCCGATTATTTCCTTCTTACCCAGATGCCTGGAATCTCCTTTCCCTTCTGTCCAGCAAAATGCCCTCTTTCCTTCCTACAAACCCCCTCCACCTCCCATCTTCGCCGAGCCATTCCCTCTCAGAGCACCTTCAGAAGGAAGGCGACAGTCCAGGCCAGGGGCAGCGGTTCTCCAGCCCACCCCCGCCCCGGGAACCAGAGCTCCCATGCTTCTCCCCATCCTGTGCAGGCTCTGGCCACCTGCTGTCCATTTTCAACAGGAACAGCCCCCGAGTGGCCAGGGATCCCCCCTGGGCTAGGCTCATGATGAAGGGGTCAGTTCGGCCTTGGCAACTGTAGGTGCCAAAACATTGGGGGCGTGAGAAAATAAAACCCCAGAGGCTCACACCTTCCTGCTGGGCTCCATGGTCCCTCTGCCAGCTGCTTCCTCTGGCCAGTTAAGCCTTCCCCACACACACAGACCTGGTCCACTCACCTGGGAGCCAGAGGAGGACAGGAAAGAGCCACAGCAGGTGCATTTTTTCTTCCCTCGGGTCCCCCTCGGTGGAGCCTGTCACAAGGACCTGCTACACGCTGGACTCCATCTCCTGCTCTCTGCCTTCTCTCATCTCGCCCGGCACTTCCTCCCTCGGCCCACTTCCCACTGGTGAACAGAATAAAAGAGGAAGGAGGTGAACAGGGTGAAATTTCAGAGCAATTACAATGCAAGAAGTTCTAGTCATCGTGAAAAGCTTTTGAGAAATACCACCACTGCCAAGAGTCACAGGGGCAGGGAGGACCCTAAAAAGAGAACCCAGCCTCCTTCTCTACCTGGTAGACATCTGCAGACAGGGAGCCACTGGGTCTGGCCAGCCCTACTCTACTCCTCCCCTCCTCCTCTGGAGAAAAGGTGGGGCAGGGGACCCAGCTCCACAGAGGGGCCTTGGAGAGTCAAGGCTGATGGACAGAAGGCCCTAGACCTGGGATTTCAGGTGTGGCTGGGTTTTTGAGAACCCCGAAGGCCTGGAGTTCAACAGCATTTGGGGCAGGGGTGGGGCTAGGTCAAAGCCAGAGGAGAGACGTAGACTAGAAGTGGGAATGAGGAGGAAGGAGGCTGAGGAGGGGTCCAGACCCAGACTACAAGGAAATGGTGTCAAAGAGTTGGGAGATGGAGTGAGGATGTTAGCCCAGTGGAAAAGATGCTCTGCGTCCTTATGGAAGCCACCAGCTGAGATCTGTGAATCCTGACTCAACCTGAATCCTCCAAAATCTCACCATGGGTACCAGAGCTCCTGGCCCAAGAAACCAGCCATTACTTACACCTGTCACCCCCCACTCCCTCCTCCACCTTACAGTGACCGTCCGTCAAAGGAAAGAAGGAAGGAAGGAAGGAAGGAAGGAGTCAGTCAGTGCATCCGGCTTGGCCTGTCTTGCTCCCTTCATTCCGATCCCACGTGTTCCCCACCTTCCCTCCCCCATCAGCACCCCCGCAAGCCCTGGGTGCTCATGAAAAGGCCAGGCCTTTCCCATATTTCGCACCTGGAGCCACTTTGGGTATGTGTTATACACACCCTGTGGCATCCTGACAGGGACGTCCCCCTCCTACCCTCAGCAGACAGGCAGTGTAGGTGAGTTATTTGCACTGAAACTCGGCAGCTGATAAGCCCTGGTTTTTCAGGATGTGGCCAGAGTCGGCCTCTCGCTTTACATATCTCCAGACCATAAGGTCAGGTCAGAAACCCGGGGCAGGGCTCTGCAGGCCTTCAGCCCCCACCACCCGTCACCACACAGTACATGGGAGATACCGGCTTCTGCACCAGGGGAGCCACTGGCTTCCAGGGGAATGACCAGGAGTCACACTGGCTGGGAAGGCCCTGGAGACAAGGGGACAGATGCATGAGAGTCATGGAATAACCTTTCCTTTCGTGGGCATGTTCAGCAAGGGGTGAAGAGAACTGTCTGCCAGGAGCCCGGCCTATGGCCAGACCCTCTGATCCTGCTCCCCCGAGACCCAGCCTCCCGAAGGAGGATTCCCCTTTGAATCAAGAATGAGATTTAGTCAAATGATTGAACCCACTGAGCCACATCCCCAGCCCTTTTTTATATTTTATTTAGAGACAGGGTCTCGCTAAGTTGCTTAGGGCCTCACTAAGTTGCTGAGGCTGGCTTTGAACTTGAGATCCTCCCGTCTCAGCCTCCTGAGCCACTGGGATGACAGGTGGGAGCCACCACGCCCAGCCTCGCTCATCTTTTATCTCTTCCTGTAGAAATGCATGGGTGATTCCAGAAATCGGAAGGGGGCACCAATGTGTTGTATACACTATGTCACTCAATAATCAACAGATTTCCATCACACATGACACTGTCTACTCTGGGGAAAGATGCCCTGTGAAATAAACATCAAGAAGAAGGGAAAAGCTATGTCTGGCTTTAACACACAGTTCTGTCTGGTGGAGATGCATCCAGGGACACATTCTTCTCGGTCTCATGAATTTGCAGATACACCTGATCTTTTCGGACTCAACTTCACAGGTGGGGGCAGCTTCTGTACCAACAGGGCTGGTTTGGTGGAGTCTCTCTCACTCTGGACTGTGTTGCTAGTCGCTAGATCTGCACCTGGCACACAGTAGGTACTCAATAAACACTGGCAGAGAATAAATGAATGGATGCACTCTGTGTACGGCATTGCCATTCTCCCCCTGACTCTGAGAGCCCACTGAGACACTCTGTAGCACCTAAGAATCAGCCACAAACCGTAACTACTCCAGCACCCATTCCTGAAGCTTCTTGATTCCCCTCGGACCTGCCGTACTTCATCTTCTCTACCCACTTGTGTTATGTTCTGTATTTTACATAATTATCACACTGAATCCTCACTGCAAATCTAGAGGACAGGTGATGTTATTCCCATTTTTCAGATAAAGAAACTGAGGCTCAGCGAGCAGGTAATTAATCCAAGCAAGCAACTAGCTATGAAGTAGCAGAGTGAAGATTCGAACCAGGTCTGGCCCATATAAGTACGGGAGGGAGAGGAAAGCTGGAGAAGAAGAAAGAGACACACACAGAGAGAGAAGCTCTTTGGTCCTATCTGGTGCTAAAAATGAAGAGGGACCCTGATATCAAAGAGTTAGTAAGATAGAGAATCTTGGACCTGGTCAACATCAGGGTGCCCCACCAAGGTTGCTTTTGAAACAAGTTCCCCAAAATGAAAGGATGTTTTATCACAAACTAACAAAACCAATAAGACACAGCACCAACCTCGAACGCTTTCCAAATCTAATGTCCCTTTCTGCCATCTTGGCCTCAGCCCTGGGAAGTCAGGCAGAAGTCAAGCTGATTTTCCAGGAAAAATGAGTCTCCAAGAGCAGGTGCTACGGGCTGAATGTCTGTATCCCCCACGAAGCTGTCTGTTGAAACCTGGTCCCGGCACCATGTATTAGGAGGTGACTAGGTTGTGAGGGGCCGCCCTTGGGACTGAGGGCCCCCAGAGCTGCCTTGCCCCATGTGAGGACATGGCCAGAAGGCACTGTCTATGAGGAAGTGGCCCTTGCCACACACTGGCTCTGCTCAGGCCTGACTTTCCAAGTCTCCAGAACTCTGAGAAGTAAATTTCTGTTTGTAAACTGCCCAGACTGTGGTGTTCTGTTACCGCGGCCTGCAGGGATGAGATGGTGGGCTGATCCTCTGCAGGGTTAGAAGTTGAAAGGGCTCTTGATTTTCAGAAGAGAGCACCTGCCAGCTTCGTCACCTGCTCCTCAGCTTTGTTTTGTTTTGTTTTTTGGCACCAGGAAGTGAACTCGGGGGCACTCGACCACTGAGCCACATCCCCAGCCCTATTTTGTATTTCATTTAGAGACAGGGTCTCACTAGTTGCTTAGCACCTCACTATGTTGCTGAGGCTGGCTTCGAACTCGAGATCTCCCACCTCAGCCTCGGAGCCGCTGGGATTACAGGTGTGCGCCGTCACGCCTGGCAGGGAGTTTGATCTTTTTTTTTGGTTGTTCATGGACTTGTATTTTTTATTTATTTATATGCAGTGCTGAGAATGGACCCAGGGCCTCACACACGCTAGGCAAGCGCTCGGCCACTGAGCCCCAGCCCCACTGAGCCCTGATCGTTTTTAAAGCACAAATTAATGGGCTCAATTTATTTGGAGAAATAAAACCACCATTTGTTCAAGGAGAGTCAGGCTACGGATGGCGTTGCCCCCTCCCTCACCCACAACGCACCTCCACAGACTATTTTCCATTCACAAAAGTGACACGTTCATGGCAGAATGACAGAATCCAGATGAGCCCAAAGTGCTTGGGGACCGCTGCCAGCCCCACCTCAGAGAGACGGCTTCTGTCAACAGTGGGTGTGTCCCCATGACCAGGCTCCCATTCTCCTGTGGAAAAGCCGTCTGTTTAGAGCAGGTTCAATAAGGGTCAGCCATGTATGAATTTACCTCCCCAAGAGAATTATGACTTTTCCTAGGGCTTCAGGAAAAACATAGAAAGGAAACGTGGCAGGGGGAGGTATTAATACTTTAGGAGGCTACACACGTGCGGGAAATCTCAGTACCTTCTGTTCAGTCTAAAACTACTCTAAAAACTAAAGTTGTTTTGTTTGTTTTGGTAGTGGGAACTGAACCCAGCGGCACTCTACCACTGAGCTACATTCCCAGCCATTTTTTATTTTATTTTGAAACAGAGTCTAAGTTGCTGAGGCTGGGCTCAAAATTGCTATCCTCCTACCTCAGCCTCCATGGTAGCTGGGACTCTAGGCATGCACTGCTGTACTCAGAATAGTCTATTTTTTTAAAGGAAAAAACACATGATTGATAATGTCAACTCTAAAATACTTTCTTTTCTATTTAACACTTTCCCAGTAAATACTTAAAAAGAAAGATAATGCAAGAAAATGGTTGTAAAAAATAAAATGAAAATAAGACAAAATGAAGAATAAAATCTTTTCTCTATTCCCACCTATCACCCCCAGAGCTTCCAAGTGAACTCCCTCAAATAAGTTTGCATAGACTTCAGAATATTCCTGCCAGGTTTCATTCCCTGAATGACAGTTTCTCCCAAATAGTACACTAAGTGGCTTGGTGGTTAAGTGCCCCATTCTTATTGCCATTTTTCCTGCACCGCATGGTATATATCCTAGAATTTCTTCCTCCCTTCCCCACCTGCTGAGTTATTTTTCTTAGGAATGCTACAGTGAGCATGGGTGCCACACCCATCCTCGTGAGTTCTTTTGCAAGGAAAACCAAAGGAATTTGCATCGGCAACTTTGATATCATCAGTTTCTCTCCCAAAAGGTTCATGTGCTTGCTGGCGTGTGGGTGAGGGGCTGCTCCTCAAACCTAAGCCAATCCTGCCCATTCTCAACGTTTCATCAAACTGCTGTATTATCCCATTGTATCAGTTAAGGTTCTCCAGAGAAACAGCATTGGCAGGACGTATTGATATATACATATGTATAATGCATACTGATCGATATCAGAGAGAGAGAGAGATGTTCCAATGAACAAATCATAGAGTCTGGCAAGTCCAAATTCTACAGAGATGACCAGAAATCCAGAAACTCTCAGGAAGGAGCTGATGGTGCAGCATTTCTTCTTCCCCTGAGAGACTTCAGGAGTCCTTCAATTGATCAGGCGAGGCCCACCTAG